TGATCTCAAGAGAAATCTAGATCTAGATAAATATTTAAGAAAATCTCAATAAATATCAAGATCTAATATATCTAGATCTAATTCATCTACAATTCTAGAAGGGTAGCCTACAGAATATAGAGAATCTAGAGCCTAGGCCTATATCTCTTCTAGGTCTAGATCTGTAGGCTATCTAGACATCCAGTACATTAAGGTCAAGATGTAGATCTAGTAGATCTAGAGATCAAGACTTAACTCTAATTATAGTCTAATATAGATCTAGATCAATACGAGATTATAATGCCTGTCTAAAAGCAAAGATCTGGATCTAGACTTACAGTCTTCTATTCCTTTTTATAACTTGTCTCCCTAACATTATGCAGATTTAATTAATTAATTACTGAGTAAAAAGGCTACTTACTTGCGTTTTCGTTGGGCAGAGCTAGTCAATTCATTTCCGCCTCGGTGTGTGCAGCCATACGTCTGTTGCACGATTTTCAGGTGCTCCGGGTAGAGTTTATCTTGCTTGAATTTGTTTGCCTGAGCCACTGATTTATTGCCGATCTTTACAAAAGGCTGATTGGTAGACTCCGAATACTTCTTAACAGATTCAAAAAAGTCCTCCCAACAGGAGAATTCGTCGCCAACTTTTAGCACAGGTTCAGCCACCGTCTGATTACGAAAAAGTGAATATCATTACGACATGCAGAGGTTCAGTTTGCCGGCTGACCGCAAATCATGCGTGAGGTGTGACATCGCATGATGGCGCGGCTGACCAGAAATCACACATGACGTCGCGTGATCCAGGCTTCGGCATTTTAATTAGTAGGGGCTATTCAACACGCTGCACTTTATTTAACATTGGGGCTAATCGCAACTCTGCGTCTCAAATTGGCACTTCCATCTATTTTTTCCTTCTTTTTTAAAGTGTTTCACGGTGCTCAAAACCACATAATATGGTCATATGAGCATGCGGGATACATCAAGCATTTTCAGTCTGATAGGAATTAATTTTGAATTTTGCCAGGATGGCAGCTTAAGCCTACTATTATATCATACATTTTGGACCACCAAGGGATCTGTAACTGATTCCGTTTATTTGACCGCTGACAGCGGCTCTGAGTTTTTCCGCTGCCGCCATTCGACCTCTGTGAGCGGCTCAACGAAATCCGATCCAAATGTGCACTTTTTAACATAATTAGCTTTTTAAGTTGTTGAAAGGAAGTAGAACTTATAAACAAGCCTGACTTCAATCTATGAGCGCCAAAATCGAACGAAACTTCACGGAATTCTTGCAAAAATCGTTTTGTTGTTGCCATGTAAGGGTGAACAACACAGGGCCTGATATAATAAAAAGGTCTTTCAAAGAAAGATATTCAACTAAATTTGTGAAATTCATGCATAAATGTGAGCTAGGGTGATATCGCTACAAGTTTGTGTTGATACCTATGGATTATAAGGACTTGTAAAGCTGAGAAAATGCGGTATGTCGAAATTTTCTAAGAGGTGTTGCGCAATTTTTTTCTCCCTCATATTCGTTTTTGTTGGATGGAAAATACAATACAAACAGATTATAGGTCATTGTTATTGATATTAACAGATTCCTCTATTGATTCCCATCAGTTTGGTATATGAAAATACATTATATTAAGACAACTTAGAGCTTCACAGTAATGCATTAAATAGATGCACCCCAGGTGAAAAGAGAAAAATAATTCAGTCTAGAGCTCGAAAAAATCATGGATGGAATCAGTTAACGTGTAGCCTACAACTTGCACACAGGTCCTAAAAAGATTTTTATGCCCTTTTCCAAAAAGGCTAGGTTTCTTATCTCAGGCCAAAATCAATGGGTCAATCTTGTGAGTGATGGGTCAAGTTAGTAGGCAACATGCACGGAGAGTTGTTCTCGGATGTTTTTGTATTAGTTAAAGTACATATCATGTAAGTATTTTACGGAGAAATAGTGGATTAATGACTTACCAACAATGTCTGCTTGTGATGCTTTAAATTCCCATCCCTGCCCTCCCTTTGACTAGCAATGACAATGAAAAATTAAATTTTTTAATCCAAATTGCTTTAAAAAAAAAAACAGGCTTAAATGAAAAAAGAGTAAATTCTAAGAACTATGGTTTTTAAAATTTTAAAATCCATTAATAAATACAAAAGTTATTGGGATTTTTGTTTGCAAAACTTTTGGGGACCGTCATATGGGGAAAATATCGCCAAAATGTGGGACATGTCTTGATGTATTTTGAGGAAAAACTGTTTATAAGTCAGTAATGAATTGGAGCATATGAATGAAACTTGGCATCTTCATGTGATTTTTAGTGCAGAATCTAGTTCTGCTATCACTTTTTCGATGTCTTTATTACTTTGGATCTTAAAGACTGATATTTGCGTGAAATTTGTTGAATTGCGTGACATCGTTTTTACCACGACGCGATCACCCCTTCTAAAACTCAGTAAAGCGCTATCAGGAAAACCCGCGATGAAGTCATCGGTGACCTATTTAGTTATAGGCAGCCAATCACAAGTCATCTAGCGATCACGTGCCTCTTGCATGCCGGCACCTCGCGTTTGGAATGCGTGATCTAGTTTCCAGCTCTAACTAGTGTTTTATCAATGGATCGGTGGTAATTTTACAAAACGCAGAGATCTCAAATTTTACAGCAATAAAGAAGACATGTGGGGCGCCTGTGTGGTCGGCGATCAACCCGCAGCTCCGCTTCGTTTTCGAAACGCAGAGGAAATTCGTACAATGTAAACACGGCAATATCTCCGGTTCTAGAAATCGTTCGGGATTGTACGCTGGCATGTCGTTAGTTTAATCTTTCCTCTGATTGGTTGCCGGGTTTCATTTATTTCCGTTTACGAGTTTTCCCGTAACTATACTTAGAAGAGAGTCACTTCTAATTCCAAGCGGCCCAAAAATTACCCCTTGCGCGGAGGTCAATTTCCGGCCCAAGGCACAGCGGGCGATTGGCATTGCTAGGTAACCCAATGGTGGGTTCATAAGTAAAAATTTACCCTGTCTGATCACAGGGCCGGGTGGCGGAGGGTGGAGATAAAAGAGTGTGTAAGGATTTTATTCCAGTCAAAACAAAAAACCATCGCCATCATCATTGAGACATCATGACTTGGACTTGACTAGATGTAGATCTAGATCTAGACCTAGATTCTAGATCTAGAAAATATAACTTCTTGATCTAAATCTAGATCTAGAATCTAGATGAGATCTAGATTAGATATCTAGAAATCTAGATCTAGATCTAGCCTAGTTTAGCTTTCAGAATTCACAGTGATTATTCTCACCTGGGGTGAGAATATAAAATTTCATACTATTCTCACCCCGGGTGAGAATAACGACAGTCTACTATTCTCACCCGGTTTGTTTGTTTCGGGCATCATAGGACCCCTGTCACTGAGCGCTTCAGGTGACAAAACTCGCCTCCCTCCCTCCCTCCCTCACTCCGCTGAGCGCGCGAGGTGGCTAAAATGGAGAACGGGCGGGCCAGCTCTCGGGCGCGGGAGGCGGCTATAGTCGATTTGGGGCAAAACCTTATCTTTTGACCGTTTGACCACATAGCGTCACCTTTTGTTGCTACAGTATTAATTTATTGGTTCTGTAATGGAAATTTTTACTCTTGAATGGTTGAAAAAAATAAGCCTAGGGTTAAGGCACTGCGTTTCTTAAAAATAATCGTGGGTTCTGCTAAGGATAACAATTAAACATGTTTTTTTGTGTTGTAAGCAAATGCCAATTCTAACATTACAAATGACAAATTATTACTATTTTAAATTTCATTAAACAGCTTTCAGTTTTATTAAGGCTAAGGCAGGCTATTATTTTTAAAAACATACTACTCTGGCAAGTGAATTCCATTCTGAATTTAGATCTAGAATATATTTACACTTGTCTAGGGTTTTGGTGAAGACATGCGTGCATACTCTCAACTCAAGATTAAAAAAAAAAGAAACAATAACAATCCCCGCGGGAGCCTAGAAAAATTGGCCAGCGCTCTGGCTCTGGGGCAGGTCACGAACGGTCACTCTCTTACAATAATTCACAAATTATTTTCTATCATCCGTTCTCAACACCCAGGTAGACCTAAAAACTAGGGTTGGGTCCGGCTCGCAAAATTAGCATACGCGAGTAACGAACTACCCGCTGGCATTACCCGCAAACGAGCGGACGGGTAACGAACCATCCATTTGTGAAGAGTAGTTCGCTACTCGCTACACATCGGACAGAGACAACAGTTTAGCGAGCGAGCGGACGGGCGGACCGAGAGACTCCATGCATTCGAGCGGGCGGGAACGACTCCTTCCATTGCCTACAACTTTTAAACCCCCCGCCCCCCCCCCCCTAAAAAAATAATTTAAAAATCACCCTCCTGCCTCACATTGTAGCTAGGCGTTCATGACGGAAATTTCCGCCCCTTCCCCCCCCCCCCCCCCTATGTACACAGTGTGCCCCACGCACGAGGTGAAAGGTTACACACATAGTACTACGTCATCAGCCTCTCTCACTCCCTGTGGCACCGCTAGTGGTTTGAAACATCAGGCCTAATTAACAAACAATAGACGACATGTCTAATCTCGCGTCGAGTATCTCATCTGCTAGACTAGGCTAGAGCTCGTCCGTTCGCCCGCCCGCCCAGTGAATAAAATTGTGGAGCGGACCCAAAAAACGAACTGACTTGAGGCTTGAGATCCGCAGTCCGCTCGCTGAGAGAGTCAAATTGTGGAGCGGACCCAAAAAACTAACTGTCTTGAGGTTCGCAGTTCACTCTCAGTCATGGCCGTCTGTTACCCGTTCGCTCTGACTGAGTCCGCGAGTAACGAATCCGTCCGTCCGCTCGCCCCAACCCTACTAAAAACCCATTGCATTCTCAGACCGGGTGAGAATAATATCTAGATCTAGATCTAGATCTAGATCCCTGGTGAGAATAACATTTTATTTTTATTTTCCCCCCAGGTGAGATTGAGAATAACGACAGACAGCCTTCAGAATTACGTACCAGAACTAGCAGCTCAGCTTTCTCTTTCGCTTCTAGATCATCCATTGTGCGTTGTTTACCCCAAGAAGGCGTTCATTGGCAGTCAAACGTGAAAGGTTAGGCCTAGTTTGTGTTGTGTGTGAAGTGTAGATCTAGAGCCTAGTATACAGTAGTCAGCAGCGGAGATAAAGACCTGAACTTCTTGACGTTCTTGTCTTGAACGACAGACAAGACAAGGCCTAGCCTAAGGGGAGAGCACTTGGCTGATTTGCTGAAAAGGAAAACTTCCGGTGACATGATATGCGGTGAATAACTAATGTCATAAATTTGTAGACAGGTAATTTGTTTTGTCCCTTCTTAAAATAATTTTTTAAAAACACTAGGCTACTAGAAACAAAGATAAAATAAAATCTTTGTTTTTATTTGTCAGGGGTAAATACTGCACCGATTATTAGATTTCAAAATCTGTAGACTTTCATGTTCTTGTTTTGACTATTTAGATATCTAGGCCTTAATACTGTATGGACCAACTAATCTCGACACCGCCCATCATTCTTTTTTTTTTTCGTCCTGTCAACTCGACCGGATAGGGTTGCCAATTTGGCCTTTTTTGGCCAAATTCTAGAAATTTGGCCTTTTTTCATTTCATTTGGCCAAGGAAAAGGAAGTGTCTAGGTAGACTCTGTAAACTCCTTGGTGGCAACTGAGTGGCAACCCTGCTCACAAAATCACGTCACAGACAAGCCGAGACGAAATTTTGAAATTGAGAGTTGAGTTCAGTTGAGAGCCAAGTTGACAGTTGCTGTTCCTGCATGTCTTGACTAGTGCTGGGACGATACCACTATTTAGCAATCGATGTTATACGTTACTTTTTTAAGGAATCGATTCAATACCGATTCCAATATCGATACTTAGTACGCCTACTTGAAGTTGATCGATAATTTTTCTTTCTTTTCCAATACACACACACCTGGCGATCAAAATCAATATATAAGCCTAACCTGAGAATGAAAATACATTTTTGCATAATAAACACTAAACCTGTGAAGGATTATCCTTCTCAAAATGTTTCCACACAAAAGATCTACTAGATCTAGTCTTTTTTTAATGCCCTGTTAATTTATAGGCGAAGAGTGCGTTTCTTTTCTTAACCGGATGTGTTCGATTGGACTTGAAACACAGAATTCTACACTTAAGTGTAGAAAGTGTAGAATACTACACTTAAGTGTAGAATTCTGTATCTTGAAAACAACAAGAGTATCATCCCTTGGATCAGTGAATTGTCTGGAAACAATTATTAGCAAAGATTTATTAGTCCCCATGTATCGATCTTTTTCGAAAGTATCGATTCGATTCCAATACCAAGAAGGTATCGGGGTATAGATGTATCGAATCGATTCCCGCAGTGCAGGGACGATACCAATAGTTGGGATCGATTCGATATTCGATACTTTTTCCAGAATCGATTCAATTCCGATACCGATACTGATACTCAGTTTAGGCCTACTTGAATTTGATTGATAAAAAAAAAATTCTTTACCAATATTGCAATACACACACCATCATCATCCAGTGCCAGATCTGCGACAGACATCAGTGATCATGGTTTCCCATTCATTCCTTTGCTCGGATGCTCTCAAAAAAAGCTACGTTTCCCTGATCGTTCCCTGTTACCCATTTGTTTAGGTCCCCTAAGTATAATGTTGTTCTGGGCCTACCCCTGCCTCGCTTGCCCTCAATTTTGCCAGTGTGAGCTAGATTTTTCAAGACCCTTATGTCTATTCAGGTGTCCTAAAAACTGCATTTGTCGTTTCGTGATCGTTTTTAACTTATTGAGCGTCCCATGTGGGCTTCATCACACCAGGCACTCAAAATCAACACATTAACCTGAGAATGTAAATGTTTTTTTGCCTAATAAACACTTAACCTGTGAAGGACTATCCTTCTCAAAATGTTCCCTCATAATACTAGTCTTTCTTGATGCCATATTGATTTATAGGTAAAGAGCGCGTTTCTTTTTTTAACCTGATGTTTCGATTGGACTTGAAAACAACAAAAGTATCATCCCTTGGATCAATGAATTGCCTGGGAATAATTAGTCCTCATTTATCGATCCTTTTCGAACATATCGATTCGATTCCGATACCAAAAAAGTATCGGTGTATCGATGCATCGAATCGATTCCCACTAAGCACTAGGGGCTAGTGATGGGCCGATACCACAATTTAGGTATCGATGTCGATACCTAGTACTTTTTCAAGGTATCGATACCGATACATCGATACCTAATGCTATTGGTAACATACGCCGGGGGTAATAAGTAAAGACAAAAATACAACTATACTTTTCCAAGTATTTAGGTAATCGTGTCTAGACAAGTTGTGACTATTTAGCTGAGACTCAAACAAAAATTATTTGTAAAAGAGAGAGAGAGAGAGAGAGAGAGAGAGAGAGAGAGAGAGAGAGAGAGAGAAATACCCAAATATGAGAATAAAAACAAAAATTAAGTGAAGTATTGGAAGAAAGTCAACTTTGCAGAAATTGTTAGTATTGGAAAATAAAAACACAAGAGTTCTAAAAAGGCAATTCAATTTACCAGATTTTTTAGCAACTTTAAATTAAACCAATGAGGATAAATCAGGGTTGTCAGTGAGGATTTTGCAAAATCACTTATAGATACATTTCATGAAAAACTTCTCTCTTTTGGTTAAAAAATCACTAAATTCAATTAAAACGCTTACCCCCCCCCCCCTCCTAGGAAAACTTATCAGTTTTGATAAACAAAAAATTCTCAAGGCCCAAGTCACTTGCTTTGGCAGCCCAGGGATAAATAACACATAGGTATCGATGTTTAGAGCAGGTATCGGTACCGATACCAATACCTATAGGTATCTAAGTATCGAGTACCTGGTATCGATACCTGCCAATCACTACTAGGGGCCTAGTCTTGACCAGGAAAATTAATGTTTGAATACACTGTGTTTGATTATTGATTACAGGCCGTCTAGAAACTAGAAACTTAGTTTTTTGTAGTTAGATTCTAGATCTAGATCTAGATCAAGATCTAGCTAGTAGATCTATTCTAGATCTACATCTAGGCCTAACTTAGCAAGTTATAACAAAGCCAAGCCTAGCAGGATGTCGACTGAAAGGCAAACAGAAGTAATACGTGCCCAGCTGATCAGTAAAGCAGTACTTCGCCCGGATGAAGCAGAATTCTACGAGCTCACACAGTTGGCTGGTGTCACTGTTGATCCAAAGATTTTCAAGTTAGTTTGATTTTGACTCCTTGATTTTTGTGATTGTTCTGTTGATCACACTAGATCTAGAATTCTAGATCTAGATTCTAGATCTAGACTCTAGATATCTAAATTAGATATTAATATTAGATATTCTAGCTTTTATTTTTACGAAGGCCGGCTCCGAACGGTTTGCGTTCTGGAGATTTGTCGAATGGAGTGGCCCGTGCGTGGCGTGTGTGTGTGAGTGTGTGTGTGTGTGTGTGTATGTGTGTGTCTGTATGTGTAAGGTGTGAATGGGTTGGGGGAGGGGGGGGGGGCATCATGGGCATGAAGACCTTAAATTTTTTTGGCAGGCGCTGAATAGCTCCCGTGCTATTTGAATTTGAAACGCCACGTTCTGAATAGGCTACTTCCGTTCTTTTGTGCCTAGCGCTAGTTTCACATTGTTTATTGCGGAGCAACAGAGCAACAAAGTGTTGCTCGGTCATCGGTAGGTCGACGCGCGGAGTTGTCATTGAAAACGGCGGAAATTTGAAAGAAATTGATTCAGAATTCAAAAATAAAAGGAGCTCTGGAATGAGAAAATTATATAATTGTATCATTCATTCTTGTGAGCTCTTCAGTTTCAAATCTAATTTTAATTTTCATATTTTTGCACTTTTGAAAATATACCTGAATGTTCCTTGATGTGAGTAAAGGAATAAAGATGGAAGTGAGTTATATACAATTGTTAAAATGTGCATCGGAATCTTAAGCTAAACATTTCTTAAGGACTGTTTGACTGGGAGGCTAGCCATACTTAATGATGGCGAGACTCTAGGCAGAGAAAAAGCGGGAAATACTGATTTGTAAATAAAATTTTAGTTTATTTTATAATGCCTAAAGTATAGTATTTGTATTTGAGACAAAACCAAAAAGTGCCTATTATTATTAATATAGTGACATGCATGTACAGTCGAACCTGCAATGACGGCCACCTGTATAAATCAAATGTTCTCTTTCCATCTCCCCCTTGCATTTTTTCTATATATAATTTAACTGTGTAAAACGGTCACCTGTCCAATGGGACGTCATATTCCATTCACCTGTTGTTGTTCTTAGTCCCTCCAATGAAAGTTTACCCAAGTTGACCAATGGGTAATATTGTACTAACAATCAATTTTTAACTGCTGGTAAGGGAAGCTTGTGATCCGTCATAACAAGCCCTGCCCACAACTCATGTCCTAATCGTATACATGTGAGGTGACTGATCACTATTTGTTTATTTAATCTTTAACAAAGTAACAATGGACGTTGACATGAACTTGCGACAGAAGCGTTGCTCATTCTCCAAGTGGTGGCGACCCATGTGTTTGTTTTACCATGGCACTCGGTCTTCATCATCTTACATTTACATATATTTCATTTATTTTACCCTTGCACAATGCAAAATCAGCAACAAAAAAAAAAAGATAATCGAAAAAACAAACCAACAAAAAAACAACAAAACCTTCTTACACCCCACCCCCCTCCTCTTTTTCAAACGAAAGCAAAACCCTTCTGAATGAAGGTCGGTGGCCTAGTGGTTAGGCTACCGGACTCGTAATCATATGGTTGCAGATTCGGGGGTTGGAGCCGCGGGCCCGACGTTGTGTCCTTGGGAAAGGCACTTCACACTAATTTTTTCCCTCTTCACCCAGGTGTAAATGGGTACCCAGCTATAGACAGTGAAAGATCTTGTCAGTTTGTTAGTGTTTGAGCCCTTAACCTTCTGCTTGCACTGTATGCTTCCTGGAAAGCTGAGAATGTTTCTGAGTGTTCTTTGGTCTGCTGGGGTAATAATATACAGTGGAAACCTGATATAACAGGGATGGTGGGAGTAGACAAAAAGTCCTGTTATATCCGATCCCTGTTAAATCCGATATGCAAGGAAAGTGAGCATTTGTGGACTAATCTAGTTGTACTTATTCATCCGTAGTTTCCCTAGCCACAAGTACCCACGAACAGGGGTTTTGGCACCGACTTTCTCCTTGCATCCTTAAAACCACATCAGAAGAGCTTGGTCCAGAGCATCTGCATCGGGTAGTCTCATCTTCTTTCGACCCAGAGCAAACTTTTCATTTGAGTATGCTGCCACTATCTTCTCTCTAACCTTGATAATGGTGGGAATTGGGAATCGACCCTTGTGGAATGTCGAACTGACGACAAATTATCTCTGCCAGTAGAGCTTGTTTTTTGTCAACAGTCTGGATTATTTCGTAATTTTTGTCAATTGAAAGGCATTTTCTCTTGCGCTTGACATCGTTAGTGACCATAATGAAAGAAGTAGGCTTAGATCTAGGCCGACCGGTCGTCCTCTCTCTCTCTCTCTCTCTCTCTCTCTCTCTCTCTCTCTCTCTCTCTCTCTTACTTTTTGCACATTGTTAACGAGCCTTTGTCCCTGCTATAACCGGTTGGGCTCCGATGAGGCCCTGTTATTGCCGATAACTTTTAATAGAGACAAAGAGTTGGAAAAAACGGGGATTTTAAGCGTCCCTGTTATTACCGGATCCCTGTTATTTCCGGGCCTGTTATATATGGTTTCCACTGTAGTGTAAAGCGCATAGAGCTTGCTTTCGAGTGGGGACATGCGCTATACAAATGCTATTTATTATTATTATTAATGAGCCTTGTACATTCAACCGAAACTTGCGCCCAGGAAACCCCTGTCTCTACTACGAAGAGAAAATTTTATTTACACAAAATTAAAAATAGGACACTGGTGAGGCTACAGCTCTTGAAATAGCCCTAAATATAATATAGATATATCAATCAAGTCTACTTTCCTAATCCTTTCAGACTCTCTCTCTTGTCTGAAATCTTTAGAGCGCTCTGACACCCCCGACAACAGAATTTTAAAACTTATAAAATTAAACTGCACTTTTTTTACATCAATCTGGAAAAACTGTGACAATAGCTTGGCTTCCAAGCCATGTAGACATTGATGGCAACGAAACCGCTGACCAATTTTCCAAAGAATTTGTAAAACTACCTGAAAACAAAAATAGTAAAATCCCTTTCTCTGACTTGAAACCGAAAGTAAAAGAACACATCACATCTTCTTCCTGGTCCCAAATTTTGAACCAACAAATACACAACAAACTACATTACATCCAACCGAAACTTGCGCCCAGGAAACCCCTGTCTCTCCTACGAAGAGAAAATGTTATTTTTACACAAGATTAAAAATAGGTGGCGTGCAACACATATTTTGCAGTTCTGCACATCCTGACGGAATGTGTCGACTTTAATGATATACGTACAAAATATTTTAAATGTAAAGATGTCAAAACTCTTTTTGACATTATTAACCTGAGAAAAATTTTAAGTTTTATTAAGGACTGTTTAATAGGATATAAAATATATAGGTACTGTTGTCTGTGTATATATACATACCCTGAAATTTATATTGTATGAATACAAATGTTTTTAAGTCTTTACCATATTTACTAAAATTTTCATAAATATTTGTCCATCCTTTTAGCATTATGATGATAATATGAGCGTGTGCAGTTGCGAGCACCGAAAAACTCTCGCTAAACCTGACATGATCCTAGATTTGTTGCAGTGAAACCTATTGGTATTTAAATGACCAAAATTGAGTCGATAGTGCTGTGAAACACCTACTCAATCGATCAATCAATTTATTTCCGGGGTGCCTTGATAGTCGAAGCAGACTTGGTGTTGTTGAAGCTAGAGAGGTGAGCAGAGTAACTAAAATTAAAACGACATTCTATTGCATTTTATGATGTTAGCTTGATAAAAACGAAATAGTAGAAAGACGTAGTTCTTGTAAATCAGCTGCAATTTTCTAGCTTCCGGTGTCTGTATCCTCAATTGTTCGAATACGCATCACGGACAATGCATCACGCCCACATGGATACACTTTAGTTGAATTTCCATTTAAACATTCTTTACGCCTTGCATACACATGGAAACGGAGCTTCGGTGCACTTCCTCTTCAACACACTAGCCTACTCACATTCTGCAAATTTAGGTCTTGGTCTTTGTGAAGTTATAGTAGTACAGAGTGGACCATAGCATAGCAAAAGATGTAGGAAGCTTCTGGGTTGAAGAAAAACAGCTAATCATAGCAGAAGTGATGAAAAATCAATGTAAGAAAACTCAATTCTGTGATAATAAATGCCTATAAACCTGTGGCATAGGGGACATGATTCATGTAAAATTTTGGGCCAACTTTTCGACTATGTTATCTCCCATGATAAAGCCCGAAAGCATACACAGCAAAAAGTTTTCCACATGTCACCAGGTTCGCTATGTGCGTGTTGTACTATTAAGTCAAACCTCATCATACCCCCCCTCCCCTGGCCGTAAGTGAAGTCTCTTGGTTGTGGAAAAGGTCATTGTCACCGTTTGATATTTGTAGCATTCTCACAATGGGTACTTTGGTGTAATGTTTCAGGATGGTATAGGTCGTTGTAGGTTGTGCAACAGACAAGTTTCTGTATCAAAGTCATTTAGAGTGGCGTCAGTGTCCCAGTGGTTAGGCTACCGGACTCGTAACCGTGAGGTTGTGGGTTCGGGGGTTCGAGCCGCTGGCCCAACGTTTTGTCCTTGGGAAAGGCACTTTACACGAATTTTCCTCACTTCACTCAGGTGGGAATGGGTACCTGGCCATAGACAGCAAAAGATCTTGTCAATGTGTTAGTGTTTTAGCACCTATAAATGGCTGCTTGCGCTGTATGCTTCCCAGGAAGTAGAGGTTTTTTCAGAATGCTTTAAGGTCTGCTGGGGTAATAGTATAGATTGTGTAGCGCTCAGAGCTTGCTGTTGAGCGGGGATTTGAGCTATACAAATGCCATCTATTATTATTATTATTAGGGTTTGATTAATTTAGTACAATTTATTAAGAACGTTTTTCTCGCATTATGCCAATTATTTCTGTTTCAGGATCCTTTTGGACCTTCTGAAGATGAATGTCCCACCAGCCGCTATTGTTCAGACTCTGCGATCGATGTGCAGCCCACATTCAGATTTCTCAGATCACCTGGAGGACCACTACCACCCCTACCCATCATCATCTTTTCCCGGAGGCAGTGGAGAGCCCCATGGGAGCATTACATCACACAGTGACACATCAGGGCTCAGGAGGCATGGGGGTATGTCTACAGATCATTACAGAAACTCTCGATCTATCTCGGGCGAGCGCCGTGCTGCAGAGAGGTCTGCAGCAGAGCTAGTGGGGTCGTCTGGTGGTCACTCATCAGGAGTAGCCTCGTCTCGTGAGAACACTCGCACACAAACAGAACCAAGTACAACATCTCGGCCACGTTATGCCTCGGACTCACAAAGACAGAGGCCGCAGGACAAACGAGCCACCAGTGCCTCATCATTATCATATGCCGACAGTTTTGTCACCTCTAGGCCCAGAAAATCTTCAGCGGAGGTCTCAACTCTGAAAGACTCTGATAGACTTACCAAGAAAAGAAACTCTTACCGGTAGTCTGATGGAAAAGAATTGTGAATGTGCTGTTTCATCCATGACTCTCAAGACAAGGAAGTTTACAGAGTTATGTATAGATAAAAATGTTTCTTACCTTGTTTTAGTTATTCACATTTAACCCTTTACCCCCACGAGACGCTGGTTGGCTACCGTGTGAATATAGTGACAAAAATGTTGTAGCAATGATCTCCTTTTTGACACGGGCTCTTGTTTAAGTTATAATTTCTTTTCAGAATGGTTTGTGTGGCTTTGAGATTTAAAAAAAATCAGTTTATTTACAACAATTGGAGTAAACTTTTTAGTAAAATTTCAAGTAGACCTAACATGAGGGTGTTTTACACGTACACCGTGATAACTCGGGTGATGAATGTGCTAGATCTAATGTTTTCAGTTCCGACCAATTACGTTTTTGGTGAACATGCGATCATCGCGTTCAATTTTCTCAATATGCTGAAAAGTTCAAAATGGTTGGGGTATTTTTGCTGAGATACAGGTATAGTAGTAATTCACCCTATCTGCGCCCTGGTACGTGGGGACAAAGGTTGTGCGCTACATTATATATATATATATATATATATATATATATATATATATATATATATATATATATATATATATAATGTGGAAAGTGTGAAAAATAACTTTTAATGAGAATCTCATTCTCCTTTTCATGTGAAAATTGTTCTCATTGTCATTATTGATGGAAAATGTTTATACCCACTTGGGTGTTTACATTTGCCTGCTTTGAGGCCAGTTAATGTTCTCCAAGTACAGCTCTTGCATAACCCTGTGAGCATCAGCCGAACAAACTGTTGTAACAAATTTCAACAGGACAAATTGTGTCACAACGCAGTAGAATCAGGCTCTCGTCAATTTATGGGCATGTAGAGTTATTGATATCTGAGGTAAAATTAATGAGAAAATGACCGCCAAAATGTAGCTATTTCCTTAGCTTGAGAAACTGTGGAAATTGAAAATTTTACATTTTTTGTGCCGTTATTAATCAAAGTTTTCCAGTGAAATCCACACAGAAATGTGTTCTTTTATGGGCGAAAAAACAAATAATCCATAAAAATTCACCAAGCTTGAGAAAAATGCCAGTTTCTTCATTTTGATTATTTTAACGAGCGCCTTATTTCACCACGCTGCCTCACAATTCTATTGTATTTTGTAACAAAGATGGTTCTCTTGTAAAATTTTGAGCCAATTGTCCAACAATGTTTATCTCCCTTGAAAGTGTACAAAATCCTCAGTTTGTGTATCGTTTGTTTCTTTTATCGTAAAGGGCTGGTCTTGTCAGCACACATTTAATAAGATTTGTATCATCCATGTTGCACTGATTTGAAAAGATATGAAGTTCCATTTGTAGCCTATCGGAAGAGTAGACCAAGGCCGGCATGTTCAGTGACGACAGCTCACATCATACAGATGACACTCCTCTTTTCTGTTAGCACAGACCAAAAAATAGAAAATGTCTGGCATACTTAATGTAACCCAGACTGTGCAGAAGCCGGAAAAGGTCCGATCGTAGTGGTCTGGCTTCCGTGGACCAATCTAATAGTAAAATACAGTGTTGAACACATCCGCACTTTCTCTGTATGGTCTGCGCTGGGACTGTGGACATGGTCTCTTACTCGCTCCCACCCTCTGCCATTCAACCTCTCTCTCCCAATTAACATTCGTCACCAAATCATCAACTGCACCCACTCCATATATTTGTTGTATTCACACAACATACACTCTACATTCTCACCACAAAAAGTCAAACTAATTCTGACCGTGTGTCCATTGTTGAACATGAAAACTTGTTCAGCGCCTTCATAATTAACCCTATCCGTACACCCTGGGGTCATTTTGTACCCCTGGGGGTTGTATTCTTCACATTTTAAAATACTTCTAGTACGAAGATCTCTTTGAAGCTTTCAGTTTTTCTCAAAAAATCATTTTGACAGACTGCTATGCAAAGCGTGCGAATAGGATTAACGAGTAAATTTCCTCTTTGGAAAGTGGTGGCACAGAGTTCTCCACGTCATATGGATACGATAGTAAAACACGATTTACACATAGGATTAAACATAGAGCAAAGGTTAAGACAAATTTCATAAAAACCGTTGCTGTCTTTTTGAAAGATAAAAGGTCTCTTTTAAAAACCGGTTGCTTGTGAAATATAAGAGACCCATACTCTGAAGTAAAATTTTTATGTTAAGTTTGACAGAGCTGCTGACAACTTTCGAGGACCCGTGCTTTGTTCCACCTTGATGGGGTGTAAACAGATTGATCTCGGAGAAAATCTACAGCAGCTCTTTCATATTTAAATTTTGTACGTTTGTACAAAGTAGTAATGTATGGAGTCTGCAATGTTTTGTTTTTTTCAGCAAGGTTTGACCTATCCTTCCCTTCTCTTCTCTTAAAAAAAATTTTGAAACCTATTTAAATCTAGCTCTGGGGTTTGACACTTTGAAGGACTGGAATATAATAACCTTTGTGTAAAAGTTTTTCAGGATTTTTAAAAACAAAGAGTTAACTAGTCCCTTCAGTGATGGCATCAATTTGTCCCCAAAATGTTTCTTTAATCTTGATACTGTTGATGTACTCACATCACTTAAGAGGCAAATATGTAAGAAAAGTGAGAAAAATGGGAGGGGGGGGGGGCAAAAAGTCCCCAAAAAGATGTAAGACTATATATTTGAACAGCCCCTTATGCCAAACGTAGGCCTGACTGCAGTTCCCCTCCCGCCGTTTCTTCTGTTGGCACACTGTTTCTGTTGTGCCTGTCAAATTGTCACGTGCCACTCCTCTCTCTTAATTGTATCGATGTCGTCAAAATGTGCGCCACTCTGATAGTTCGTGGCTTTGATAGTTTTTTCTAGAAAGTGCGCGGCTCTCATGTTCTCCCCTTTGAACATGCAAACCCATTTCCGCACCATGCTTTCGCCCATTGCATTTTCGCCATACACTTCAGAAATCTGCCCATGAATGTCGCTAGGCTTCGTGTTCTTTGCAGTCAGAAAATGAATAACTGAATGAATTGCCCTGTCAGCATAATTTTCAATCTTGGAAGACATGTTGAAGCTTCAAAAGGGTGTAGGATGTTTGATACATAATGTGGCTGTACTGTGTAAACTGGCAGGGAAAAAAACTGGGTGAAATGTTTTAAAAGCGTTGTAGATTGTTGTTTACAACAGCAAGATGGAAGCTGAGGGCTCTTTCCACTTCAGTATTGAATACATCAACTCATTGTGGTGCAAAATAGGGAATATCCTGATCCAGTTCAGAGAGACGTGAAAACGGTACCTACTTTCTGGACGTCCCTCGTATTTAACTGGGCTCACTTTATTAAGAGTACCATGTATTTTGAAAGAGAAAATAACTGTGAACCCAAAAATATGTAAATTTCCTGTCTCTCATCCACACTATTTGGGAGAAAAAAAAGGCATTAATTTGAGACGACATTGACAGTAAACCCTGTTCTTGTCCACTTTAAAAGTGTGCAAACTTTCATTGTTGATTGTTGATTTGCTTAATGAAATTACATGAATTATATTGATGTTTAGGAAATTCATCAGGGGAATCAAACCCTGCAACTTCAATGTATATGATTTCAATTGTTGGTTTATTTATATATGTTCTTTATGATAATAATGTTAAACTTACAATGAAAATAAACATTGTTGAAAATATATATTGCTTGTTGTGAAATAATTTATATGGAGACTTTTTTGTTGTTGTTTTTGGTTCTTTTTTTTATGCTACTAAAGTTGTGTGCAAATGGGAAGTTTTTAAAATGTTTTCTATGTACGTACATAATGGCCTAAAGTTCTTATGTCTGTGAATGCCGTTTTGCAATAAGACTTGAGTTTGATACCCTGTGGGGAAGGTTTTTTTTTTTTAATGGCTTGTCTTCGTCTTTCTGTTAGTGTTGGGATGCTGCATTTTAATGGAGTTTCTCTTATAATCACAGTGCCCCATTCAGCCTGGGCTATTGAACATGAAGCTGTGTATCTCTTAAATCATATCCATTGTGTTGATGGAGGCCTAAAATATGAATTTATAATCATTATCGTAGCTGAACCTGATAGCCTGGCAGTGGCATGAAGCTGCTCATACTCATATTCCTATTTGTGGGTGGTTGGCAGGGGCTATGGTGTGATTTCTTTTTTCTTTTTTACCTAGCTATCAAACATTTATCATCAGCCTCATCTCTCCTCCTTTTCTTTGTTAGGCTTTGTTTGTTACTCCTTAGCACTATAGTGACTCCTCAAATCTTTGGAAATTATATGACCAAAGTGCTGCAAAACTCTTATTCATCTTATAAAGATTCTATCTGTGACCGACAGGGATAGGTTTCTGTCACTAGTGAAATGAAAAAAAAATCGAAATAATATGTGTCGCGTTGTGGTGGAATCGGGCGCTCTTCAATTTTTGGGCATAAGGGGTTATTGGTATCATCTTAAAGCCTGTTTATTTGTCTTCCTTTTAGTGAAAAAAAATATCCATCTATGTTGAATAGAAGCCGAAATATTATGAAGGAGGTCAGGATTGCCTGGTTTCAGAAGTGAAATTAGCGAGAAAATGGGCGCCAAAGTTTGGAAAATTCCTTTACTTCAAGAGTCCTTGGAAACTGAAAATTGACATCTGTTGTGCCTTTAATCAAAATCAATGTTTTTCAGAAAACTCCACACAGAAATGTGTTTTTAAATGGATAGAAAATGTGTTGAGCCAAATGAAGAAAATTTGACAAAAATTGCCCAACAGTCAGGAAAATGCCAATTTCTTTGATTTCACTCTTGTGACGAGTGCCTGATTTCACCATGATGCCTCACCACATAGTTCATCGCTCAACATACATTATGTGCATACTTTTAATGCAATAAATGGAACAATTTAATACTAAACCTAAGGCAACTGGCGCAGCAATTCGCTATGTTTGGTATTGCAACAATTTTTGACTCGTAACTGTTCTAAGAAGATAAAGAACATTGTATTGTTATGTGTGCACATTATGCTGCAGTGGGTGTCGCATTCAACGAGGTTGCCGGGACCGGCTTGTTGTCCTCGTTGGATTCAACCTCTCGTTGAACGCGACTAAGGCTAAAGAAAGGAGACAAGTTATTATTATTATTATTATTATTATTATTATTATTATTATTATTATTATTATTATTATAATAATATTATACGATGTACCAGTACCTGTGATTAAAACAGTTGTTCCCCCGATGACAAAAATCTCGAACAGCATCGCATCAGTGTGCGCGTGTTTAAGCTGTGTTCTGACCGTCATTTCTGCATTAATTTTTTTTTTCCGGAACACTTCTCGTGTGGAAACATACCCTCTCACATCCAGGTCTAGATCTACATCATCATAAAGTAAAGGCGGGACCTTGGATTTTCTGATCAGGGGAAGAAAAGAAAGTTGAAAAAAAAAATGAAGGTCTCGATCAAGACCTACCCATCCAGAGTTTATCCAGTTTCACACAGCCTGCATTGCGTTCCCACCCACCCCTTCCCGACCCTACCGAAGGCTAACCGTTGTCCATCCTCTTGGCTTTGGGGCCCCTATTACGAGGCACACTGGATCTAGCAATACAATGAGTTAGGAATCGAGGATGGGCCTTGTGCTGCGCGTGAGATGGAGAGAAAGGAGAAACATTCTTCGCTTTTGGGGCAGCTAATTGCTTTTATTTGGTTGTCGCGACCTCGTTGAAAGCGACTTCGGTCTGTTTGCAACCTCGTTGGAGCCGACGTACATTTACAAAGAGATATAGAGGCAAAAATCGGGGATTAAGGATTGTCTCGTTGGAGCCGACTTCTCGTTGAATGCGACACCCACTGTACTGCACTCTGACGTGGATTCCTTTCATGCTTATCTGATAGACAATGTCCAAATTTGAAGCAGGGCAAATTAGTCTCTTCTCTTGGGGAAACAGGAGTGGGCAGGTTGTGGGCGCTCTAGTGAGGTTATCTCCTGCTTTTCTATTAATTCTTGATATAAATAGACCCACTGCTCCGCCAGCAGGATGCGCAACCCCTTCAATAGTGAAATGTCACCCATGAACACCTATGCTGAGGTGCGCAGGGGCGACATTTACTTAAAAAAGACGATAGAAGACAGACGATACACCTTTAACTTAAAGGTGTATCGTCTGTCTTCTATCGTCTTTTTTCCTTCTTCTTTCATCCTTCCCCGAGCTGACCGGGGAATAGAATAAAAATAGTTGGCTGTCCCATCAACAGGGTGTGTGACACCCCTCCCCCTCCCCCGCCCGCTGATAGTATGCCACTCGTAGGTCCCTAGCTTTCTACCGTGGGGTGGCATCTTTTGTCCGCACTTGCTATGTCTTCTATCCATCTATCTTTCTTTCCGATATGTCGACCGAAGGTCTGGTCAAGCAAGAAATGGACCCTGAATCCCCGCAGCGCGAGGCACCCTGTTGACCGTGGGGTGCGACCCGTATGACTTGGGGAAGGGGATCCTGGTGGCTGAAGTGTGGCTTCCCAAACCAAGACGCCACTTTTGCCCAGGATTCGGTCTAGACGGGCGGGTGTAGTGGCCTTCTGCACACAATCGGTTATTGAACCGTTTTTTTTGTTGTTGGCCAATCTTGGTTGGAAGGCGAGATTTCTTGCCGTCCGACTGGGAGTATACCTCCAGGGTAGTCCTGACACCAGCTAAGGACTTCCGAGCGGTATCCCCTTGTTGGACACGGTGGCGGGTGGGGAGCCCTAGAGATGAACAAAGACGAAATCACATAGACCTAAAACACATTAATTTCTTCCACCCCAATTCCCAACAAGTCCCAAACAGGAAAAGCAGGTGCCACTCCTGGCCTGGGGGAAACGAAAGAAGAGCCTTTCGGGCGACGATGCTGACTGTCAGCATCTGGGACATGGTATGCCAAAGAGAATGTCCTTGGGGTGGTCACCATTTCTGGTGATCTCCCCAAAAGATGAAAAGCAAGACCTAGCAACACTAAGCGTCTTCTAAATTCACAAAACACTAAAAACATTCAGAATTCTGACTCCAAAGAACTTAAAAAAAACTAGGATCCACGGACCTCCTGATACAGGTCAGTTCCAGCACAGAGTCAGGTAAACTGTTGGCCTGCACCTCGTTTGGTGGAATCCTTGTGTGTGTTCAACCTCACTGAAGTCTGAACACATCCAAGGGTGTCACCAAAAGCGGAGAGCTCATTGGCTGTACAGAAGAAGAGATGGTCCAGGAGGTCAATGGAATTGTCCATGCTCGTTGTATCAGAGTGCAGAGAGATGGTTTTTATTTAACATTAGAAGTACGACCATACATTCCGAAACCGATGCGCTGTTTCAACTGTCAGCGCTTCGGACACACACAGCTGCCTTGTTGTTGTGGTGCAGCGCGTTCTCGCTGCGGCAAGGAAGGACACTCTGGGGAGACCTACTCTGCAGATCCCTGGTGTCCATCGCCCTTGATCCAACAAAGCCCCTCCACTCACTCCCCACACTCGCCCCCCCCCTCCCTGTCCCCGTAGAATGATGCAAATTTAGATGGCGAAATTATGCAAAAAAGCAAAATTATGCAAAAATTATGCAAGTTACCGTAACACCATTCGTGACATGTTTTGCAGTTTTTCAACAAGAATTTCCATGATTTTCATGATTTTCATGTTTTATGTACAGAAAAATTGAAAACAGAACATATCAGTATCAGTAATTTGTCGTGTATTTGGAAAGAAAACAATACACATCAGTCAAAAAAAAAAAAAAAAAAAAAAAAAAAAAAAATCTCTGTAACTTTCAGCTGTAGATCTAGATCTATATCTCTGTATAGATCTATAGAGGAAAGAAAAATGTAAAAAAAAGAAAAAAAAGAAAAGGACATCTGGACCTCTGATGCTGGCACATTACTAAAACTAGGGACACATGTCAAACATGAAACATCAGCAGACATGAGAACAACTTCTGATGGATTGAAAAATTGAACATGCTCAAGGAACAAAATCCCAACCAATAACCAAGATCTTCTAACAAGGGACATTACCAACTTGTCACTTAAATGAGATTTATTATGGTGACTACTTCCCTTTAGTCACATGGGCGAGGCGTTAATTAATTGTTTTGTGGAAAAAAAAAAAGGTGAAAAAACGCGGGGAATCCAAAATTATGCAAGTGTTGCAGAATTACGCCAAAAAAAAAAAAAACACAGAAAAAAACCGCTGCCGCGGCGGGCGCACAATCGCATAATCCTACGTGGACAGCCCTCCTCTACCCGCTTCAGGGACTCCGGTCCTCCTCCCCCTCAACACTCCCCTTAAAAAAAAAAAAGCTGCGGTCCACCGTGACCGCAGCCTAACAAAACAGATACAATGGTCACCAAAAATAAAAAAGAAATGTATTGAACCAGTGCCCTCAAAAAAAAAAAAATGACTGTTCTTCAGTGGAACATTCACGGTTCCGGTTTGCGTGCAAACCAGGCAGAACTCTCCCATTTTTTGACGCCACACGCCACACACCCCAAATGTTATCTGTCTACAAGAAACTAAATTGCCAACACCCACATTCACATTGAAAAACTATCAAACTTACTACCAAACATACACCCATAACCAAATCGCCTCTGGGGGCAACTCCATTTTAATAAATAACCAAATACTACACAGACAAATACAACTAAACACAACACTTCAGGTAGTTGCGGTCAGGGTCACCCTACACCGTCCTATAACTATCTGTTCAATATACATCCCTCCAAATTATCCTCTATCTTTAAGAGATTACCCCTATTTCCAGCCAGTCCCTGCAGGGCAAAAGAAAAAGAATGAGAGAGGACGACAATGTCAGTATCTGGGACCTGCCTAGATGAACATCGCTAGGATGGTCAGCTTATTTGGTAATCTCCTCAGCCGATGAGTCACACAAGAAAAAAACTTCTTTAAGCGTCTTTGCCATTGACAAAGCTTTCAGAGCCTGTGGCATCCCCAGACCCAAGAAAGTCTCCCCCCCCCCCCCCCTGGGGTCTGGCGACCTCTTGGTGGATGTTGGTTGCTAACGTGGCCGATTTCGTACAGTTACGGAAATATACGTCCTTTGGCGGCATCCCTGTAAGTGTTGAGCCTCACAGGAGTCTCAATACTTCCATGGGTGTTGTAAAAAGCCGTGAAATGGACGGCTGTACTGAGGAAAAAAAGGTGCGAGAAGTAGAAGGCGTCACCCACACTCGTCGTGTCATGGTGCTGCGAGATGGGAAAGAGATCCGCAGAAACTTTTGGATACCGTCTTTCGACTGTCCAAGACTTCCTACCAAACTGATTGGAACTAGAGGTAAAACCCTACTTTCCAAACCCGATACGTTGTTTTAATTACCTGCGCTTTGGACACACTAAATTAATTAAAATGCCGGCGAAATGCTGTTTTCCCTCGCTGTGGTCAGGAGGGTCACACCGAGGAATCCTGCACGTCAGTTCCTCGGTGCCCAAATTGCCAACATGGAGGACACCCGGCATATTCAAAGGACTGTCCCAAGTATTCACAAGAAAAGGCCATCCTGACCCACCGAGCGAAGTTCGGAGGCACCTTTGCCCAGGCTAAGGCAGCCGTCTTCCCGATGGGATTAAAGTCAACACAGATGACGTACGCAGACGCTGTCAAGGCTGGCCCCAAAACAGCTGACAATGAAAAAACCCCAAAATTCCAAAACGTCAAAACACCAAGTGTGTTCAACAGAAATCTAAATAAAAAAGCGCCACGACTACCAGGAGGAGGACATGGAGCTCTCACTCCACTCATTCCCTCCAAAATGTCTCTCATCTTCATCTTCACCCCCAGCACCCTCACCATCTCCTCCTTCATCCTCACAATCATCCTTACCCTCACCACCATCCTCATCCTCACCTCCATCATCCTCACCCCCATCCTCATCCTCACCACGCTCATCTTCATCCCCACCGCCAACTACATCTTCATCTTCACCAACCTCATCACTTTCACCCCATCCCCTTCATCCAATAAAGCCCCTCCACCCACTCCCCG